GTGGGGGTGGAGCTGTGGAGACAACCAGTGAGTCTTTTTATGAGGTGTTGGTACATTTGCAAAGTGAAATTGGCCATCAAAACTCGAGAGAGAGAGAGAGAGGGGAACTCTACAAGGGGTTGGCCACATGGTTCCTTTCGATTCCCTCTGGAAGGAGGTCTATTATCAGCGTTTCAATTCTGATCTGGCTGCATTTTACTGTGGGACCTTCGATGGTTTCGAACGGGAGGCGCCTTTGTGGGTGTAAAGTAAAGGTGAAGTCTCTTTGGTTTCAGAAGGGGTGTACTGAAGTAGCAGAGCTACTCGCCCAAAGCCATGAATTGCAGAGTCCATGGAGTTAGTGCCAGTGGTGCTAATTTACATCACAGGCAACCACTGGACTCCCCGAACTTGGGGGTCTTCCCTGGAATAGCTCTTTTCAGAATCAAAGGCTGCATCGTCAGAATCACTGGCATCACATGTGCGGCACACTTGCAAACATCCCATAGCACAGTCCATCTGAGTACACTTACAGTTGTTATATATATAACCATCCTGAAGTACATAGAATTTTGGTACAACTCAATCCCGCGGCACTAAAAAAAAAGTAATAATACATGGAATATCGGGGTCCCAAAAGCATCTTCAGGATGGTTATATCAAAACACCCGCGTGCCTCGAATCGAAACACCCGCGCGCGCGCGAGCTCGCATCCTATGTCCCTTTTCCTTCTCCCATCTTCTCCCCTATGTCCCCTATCTTCCACAGACCATTCCACGATATTCCAAGTACTCGTTTGATCCGCTCGGAGATATTCTATGTACTTTTTTTTGGGGGGTCAAAACGAGGTACTTAGAATATGAAATTGAAATGACGGAAGGTACGTTGGCGGCTCAATTCCGTATTCTATCTACTCGAGGATGATTATATATATATATTAATATATTATATATATATATTCATGGCCCTTAAGAGGTATGGATGGACGTCTAAACTATAGAACAGCCAGGGCTGATAAAAAGATTATAAATATACATAAGTTATAATATAGATTAATGTAGTATCTCTACTGCCACTGTTCCTGGGCCACATGGATTCTTTCCCATGCTTGGTGAAACCCACACAACCAGTTTCTGCTCAAGCGGCAGCTAAACGTAGTGGTCGTTCCTTCGTTCACGAATCTTCGGAGTGACTTCGTGGAATCTTCGGCCTCAAGACACTGCGGTCGTGACTGTCACAAGACTGACTGTCACGGTCGATCGCCATCTCGTCCTTCGGTTTGATCGGATTCTCCGGATGCCTTTAATGCCTTTAGGCCACGCAATTGTTTTTTAAAGAAACTAGTTGTCAGCAGCCACAGACTTTCATCGGCACAAGAACAGCTAGACTACTACTGAGACACACTCAACAATACCGACAAATAGTACAATGATAGCTACATTATCATACCAATTCCACCGAACACAACGTGGAAGATCACTAGTAAACCGCCGGTAAATCCCCCTGGTTGATTTCTGTGAGCTCCCCAGGAGTCCGCGCCTTTTCACTCCCAAGGTGGTCCAGCCCTTGGTCTCAAAACGGCTCGCCCTGCCGCGGCCGTGAGATCGTCTTTGTGGCGCGGGGGCCCGGCCCGAAGGGCCCAAATGGAAGTGTCTGGACCGAAGGGACTGTTGAAGTCAGTTCGTCCCTGGTGGGGCAAAGAAGCAAAATTGTCCAGGCGTCGTTGAACAGATGTTGCATGGAAAGATTTTCTGCGACCAAAATCGAGGTGGGAAGCGATAGAAGAAGAAGATTGAACAAGGACGAACCCAAGGTACTCATCACCCACTTGACCATCCTTGACCACATGGGGACACTGGGGCGGGGGATATCCTCAAGCGAAATCCTGGTCTTGACAAGTGAGTACTTTGAAGTTTGACACCTTGAGGCTGCAAGGTTGACAGACCGTCTTGAAGAACATGTTTTTATTGGTCTTTATTGATCTACCTAGTTGTAACAGGAATAAGATAATGTTGGTATGTTTGAGACTTTGAGAAGACCTTGAGCCTCCAAAAAATGATGTGTTTCTTCCATTTCGCGATCGGGGCTCGAGACTTTGTCGACCTGATCGCCTGGATCCAACTATGCAGATCCCCAACGCGCGGGACTATGCAGCGAAGCGCTACACCCGCAGCGAGAGCCACCGCTTGTGGGACAAGCGCCTCGCTTGGAACGGGAGGGGTTATTGACCGTTCCCCATGTCCTTGGTGAGAAGGGTTCACCGGCCGCGCGAGGGTTTGTCTAGAAGAGTTTTTTGGATCTCCAACGATACTTACTTGTATCAATTAGTAATACAGACCAATGAGGTATGACTGCAAAGTCAGTTTTGGATTCTTTGAGCAACGTGCAATTGTATCCAAGTGTTGGGACATGTTTGCAAAGATCTCGTGAATATCGTGTCTTGGGGCACAGAGTGTTCACTTCAGGATTCCTGATTCCTGACATTGTTGGAGATGTCCATCAGTCCATACGCACACAGGCATACACAGGCTTGCTGCTTGGTCTCCCATGCTGCACCAGGAACCATCGTTGAATAGGCAGCAGGAAGTGAACAAAAAAGGGACTCCACCAGGACCTACCTCCAGTGACTCTGGTATTGGAAGGCTGTGATGTGAAAAAAAGATGTCAACATATGGACTTGAACGCTGAGGCATTGAGTCACTGTGTATCACTGTGTATCACTGTGCCTCACTCCGCCCTTGTCGGAGGTGTTGGGCTTCAACTTATATAGGGCCCTTGCAAACAGTTATCAGTGTTTCGTTGTCATCTAACCAGGGGTCAACCCAAACAGACATGTTGCCCATGAGGAAAACATGGTTTTTGATGCCAATGAGATTGTTCTCCCAAGTGCTCGATCTGTTGGGCATGACTCCGGCACAAAAGTAATAGCAATGGCCTCTAACTTAATAGCGATGGCCTCCAACCTAGAAGTGATGGCCTCCAACCTAAGAGTAATGGCCTCCAACCTAAAAGCAATGGCCTGCAACCTAGAAGCGATGGCCTCCAACCGACTAGCAATGAGCTGTTGCCAAAGAATGTAACCCAGGAGTTGCATGTCCACCAAGTGTTTCCATGTGAATCTGAGGTTCAGCTGGCGTCTCTTGATCTTCCCCCACGGCACCGGAACAGAGGCTCCGGGGACTCTTGGCCATCATGACAGCCTGAGTAGTGAGGGGAAGTAGTTGTTTGTTTTGCTTTTGGCTTGGAGTCCCTGAGTTGTTTGTCGTTCTCTCTGTCCTTTGTCCTTCCTTTCTTCCTTCCTTGCTTTCTTTCTTCCTTCCTTCATTCCTTCCTTCCTTTCTTCTTTTCTTCATTTCTTCCTTTGTTACTTTCTTTCCTTTTTTCCTTTCTTCCTTTCTTCCTTTCTTTCCTTCGTTCGTTCTTTATTTATGTTGTCTTTCTTGTGTTTCTTTTCTTTTTTGTTATGTTCTGTTATTTCTTTGTTTTTTCTGTTCTGTTCTGTTCTTTCTTTGCTTTTCTTGCTTTTCCGTTCTTTTTTTATGTTTTATTATTGTGTTTCTTATTTCTTTATTTCGTTCTTTTTTCATTATTTCTTTCTTTCTTTTGTTTTTTTTCTCTCTCTCTCTCTCTCTCTCCAGACTCAGATAAGGCCCATCTCTCCTGTGATTTCTTTGAGCCCTTGATGAGGGCTTTGACCCTCCACCAATTGCAAGGGTCAGCCATCAATAGCCGTCAATAGCAACACGAAGGAATAATTCAGAAACCACCCCCCCGTTCACCCTCCTTCCCTAAACATCAATGAATGCCGCTGACCTGCTGAAACAACTCAACTAGCCTTTTCCTTTGTTACAAACTGAAACATCGAGCCATATCAAGCCTATTCTGATTCCGCTCAGGAAGACGACCGCAGCCTTTGTGGAATTGGTGCCAGATGCCTGGAGCCCCGGTGACGACACCAAGGTCTCACGGCCTGGGGGGCGCCGAACTGCCACGAGTCAGCGCTGTGAGGTGTCGGGCGGTTCATAAGTATACTTAAATGCCTTAATATATTATTATTATTATTATTATTATTGTTATTATTATATATATTATATATACATATATTATATATTTATAGTTACGTTATATATATATATATGTTGTGACACGTGTATATAGTGTACTGGTGAAACACGGCGAAACACAGTGAAACACGACAAGTGGCATCGTGCAGGTCATCCAATTTCAAGTCCTTGAAACCTTCGAAGAGCATAACAGCTTGGAGTGGGGGCGAGGGCCATTCGGAGACTTCGGTTGGACCCGAACAGGTTTTTGTCATTGAAACATATTGAACTCTACGATTTCGGGCGATTTTAGGACAACTCCTTGCGCCCATCTAGAGGGGAAGTCGAAGCTCATCAAAGCTCTTAATGGTACTCGTATCTACCGATGTGGTTTCTGGTTTCATGTGTCACCTGGAGCGGGATGCAGTGGGTACTTCTATGATCAGACAAGACGCGGCTGTTATGTGAAAAGCGGGTCACATTCCTTGAATCTTGGTCAAACGACTTGCCAATCCCAGACATCACCACAAAGAGCCCACATGGGAAAGCATGCACGAAGTGCCCCCCTTTCGAAGTTCGACGGTTTGTAGAGCCACTTTCAGACAGCAAGCGGAAGCGATTTCCGGACCTTGGCTGCAGGCGCTTGGCCCTGTTTAGTGGAAGAATACGTACTTTGAACAACAGAACAATGAATAGGCCTTAGCGAAAGGCCGTCAAAAACATGAGCGATCAACCAGCAAAAGATGTCAAGAGTGCTCGCATCAGACCCTTGCCCCAAATAATAACCCAAGCACGATCTCAACAGGATCCATATGTGTACGAGGTGTCAAACCTCCTCCGACAACACGATGACTCAGCCACATAAATCTGTCCACATCAGAAGGAGTCTTTCAACGTTTCACCTATTCCAAATCGACCCTGAATCAATCGGAAGCTTTCAACAAATAATTTTTTGAAGAACCGCAATGCATTCATAAACTCCAGAGAACGAATCCCAAGTTGCCATTGCCATTGCGAGCCATGGCCGAGGACAGAGAGTGGGCGATAGGTTGAGTTGAGATAGGTTGAGACTGATCCATGGTCTGCACACACACACAGGCATAGGGAGGTTTTGTTGCAAAACTTAATTTGAGTCTGTCATTTGTTCATTCATCAGATCATGTTAAATCTATATCCTGGCCTAGATTGTCCATGAAGTGTTTCAGCGACGCCACATCACCCAAACGCTGGGTAAACCCAGCAGCTCAACAAAAACCATCAAACACCTGCAAACACTCCGATCTGAGCTTCAAAGCCGATGATTGGCGCATATTGGCGCTGTGGTTTACTGGTGGTTGGTTTTGCCACTGAAGTATAAGCAATATTAAGTAATCACATCAATCGAAGCTGGTCAGTTTTGTCAAAGTTGACAGGAAACCAAATCAATCTCATGAGGGATCATCAAAGGTTTCCATTGGTTCTCCAGCTTTTAGAAGATGGAGACGGAGCGGTTGGGGATGCGGTTTTGCGGCAAACAATCCTTGCCATATCCTTTGCTTCATACTTTTTTGAGTATAGCTGAGTAGCCAACAGGTTTCCCATGCAGCCATGTTTGTTCGTGGCCCAATCAATCATGGAAGGGAGTACGATAAAAAAGGAGCAGAACCATGTGTTCCCCTCCTCTGTGGATTTCATGGTCAGTGGTGGACCGGATCAGAGCTCACTTGACCGAGCTCTATTCACGGAATGCGCCCCGAGGCCAAGGGTGGTCGGTTTAGAAGTTGATCGGCGTAGTGATCGGCGTCCGTCTAAACATGTTGAAGCCGACCTTGAACGATCTTTCACACCGGGCACCACCCTGAAATATGCAGGAGGTGCCTCTGCTGCTGCGGAGCCCCACGGGACTTTGTACTTATCGGGTGAGGCAGGTTTTGACTTTAAGAATGTGTAGTAGCTCTGAACACCTGCTAACCCTCATTAATCTCATTGTTTGATCATGTTTCCTGCCAACCCTCCAACGAACACTTTTCTTGTCTTTTCTTTGGAGGGTGGCCTAGTTCCAATCTCAGGGCAATGAGGGATATTGTGGGGGCATGCCGGGGCCTTGTTTGCTGTCTTCGGACACGTTGTCTCAAATTTGTTGCCGGTTCTTTAAGCTTCAGTGAAACGATATTTGTAGGACAGCTTCCCACCCCTTCTTCGCAAATCAATTCACTTCTGTCACTTCTGTTTGTTCAACTGTTGAATGGTCCCATCCCTTGTGCAGGCTCAGCAACACAGTCGAGAGTCTGCAGCAAGAGATCTCAAGGCGAGCGCGGTGACGTGCGAATGATATTTTGGGATATACTGTGACATGCACTCTGACATACCTCGTCTTATTACAATCTTCCCGGTGGAGTGATGGTCTTCAAACATTATAAAACCATATAAAACTGTATAAAACTATATAACATCCGTGGCAATGCGAGATGCACGTGCAAAGTTCCTGCCTGACAGTCTTCACGGACCCCCCTAAACGTCCGACGCGCCCGACGCGCCCTCGCGGCCCAGGCGCCACGGCGAGTCGGTGTCGTTGGCCTTATGGGGCCGGCCTTTGGCCTTGGATCGATCCTTGAGCTCCTATGGTCGCCTGGCGAGGTTGCGACCGCCCGGGCAGGGTGGGGTGGGGGAGTTGCTTGCGGGGTGGATGGAGTCCAAAGATGGAATTCACAAGAATTAAAGATGAAGGGGCTTTGGAGCCGCATGTTCGATTCACCACACGCTTGCATGCATCCACAAAGCACACCTGCCTCTTTCCTATCGCCGATAGGAACATGTCGTCTCCACTCTTGACAGGATCAATCAAGGTCAGCTTTCAGCACCAATTAGGAAGTTATATGAAGTTATTGGTGTGGTGGAATACTTGTTCTGCACACCCCTGCTTGAGAATGATCCCATCACTTGACATTTTGTTGAGCAATAACCGGTCGTGTACGAAGAGAGTAGCTCAGAAGCTCAGAACGTCGTGGGAAACCTATATCCTTACATGTATGACACTATGCACTACGTCATGTGTCCCTTACGAGGACTCACAAAGTAGTCTTCCAGTGAGTTTTCCCTCCACCTTGAATGATCACTCCGCATCCAGGGAACAGCCTTTGACTCACACCTTTGATCTAAGGGCTTCATGCGTCTCATCCGTAGCATGATTGTAGAGTTTTTGTTGGGGGGGCTCTTGTACACCCAGGATCGCCGATGGGTTGGTTTCTTTGCATTGATCGGATGCCCCGGGTATGCGAGTCTCAAGGCATCCGGGCCATGTCTGAGCTGCAGCTGTGGCTGGCTTAGCACAAACCATCGAGAAATGGAAAGAGATCAACAGGGCGTTGTCGAAACGGGGCAGAGTCAACAGATGTCAAAATGCGTCGCCAATGTAGGTGAAAATCGTTTTACGACTATCGGCTATCCAACAAAACTATCGGAAGAATGCCCTTGTTTGCGTAGGCTGTAGGCATCATGATGTCAAATTCCGATGGGGGGGGGCCAGTGCACCGTACAAGCCATGTTTCGACGGTTCTTGTTCCCCACCCAAAACAAGATGAGGACTTGGTACCCAATACCAACATGGTCCAATGTCACTAGCACATCAAGCATCATCCCGCAGGGTTTCTAGTCAAGGGGGGGAAGGAAGTCTATCCCCGGTTGGGGCCGCTGACCGCTTGGAATACGAAGGGTCAAGGAGGATGAAGGCGGTGGAACCATTCCCAAAGGCCATGGATTTCGTCAGTTTAGTTCTATTTTCTCCACATCTTGGGACATAAATCTGTGAGTTCTTGACAAGCCTGCTATATTTAGTTCTAGCACACCCTTTCCGATGAGAAAAGGCCTTTCATTCCATCTAATAAGCCAATCCGGGAGAATCCACTATTCACAGATCTGTGGAGAGAAACAAGAACTGTACTGTTCCACAGTGAGCATGGTGATGAACAGGGATATTCCTCTTAATGATCCTCGAGCTGAGTCCTCGACCCATTGATTCAACACAAGATGCGTCCAGCCTCTCGACGCTGAGAGGTGTGCTGGTGGTCTTTATGGTGGCGGTGCGTGCTGGTCACTGGGCTTTCCATATGGGTCTGTGAAGGTTTTTGGGTCGGCGGGTCAGTTTTTGCCGGAACGCCCACACAACTTGGACTTCCATGTGAATCCGAAACGATCCACCATTTGCGGCAGAAACTGGGGGAAGTTGTGGAAGCCTTCCAAAATGGGGGCGATTCTCAATTCAGACCCACCACCATCGCACAGTTCCATAGTATTTCAGGAGAGCAGACCACCAGAGCAACGAAACCTGCCTTGAATGGGGGAATCTCGGGAATGTAAAGAATCTCTGAAACCCACCAGACGAACAAGAAGCTATTAGTAACAAGTGCCACGCTAGTAGTAACAGGTGCCTTACAAGAAGCTATTAGAAACACGGTTCGTTGACCCAACTTGGGCGTCACTTCTTCGGGCCACTTGGGCGTCACTCCGCAACCGACACATCCGGAGTGGGCTCTTCTATGGGGCTCCAGAAGTTGTTTGCAGCCAGAAAGGAAAGGGGATGTTTTGCATGTGGCTACCTGAGGTTAAGAAGTATTGGGTCTGAAACTGTGGTTTGAACATGATTGAACCCTTCTGTTTCAGCTTTTTGAAAGCCTAGGCTTCAATTTGTAAACGAACATCTATTCTAGATTCTAGAGCTCTTTGTATGCGGTAGGTTCTCAGTTCTCAGCCAGTTTTCGACCTAATTGAACACACGCCATTGTTGAGGTCAGAGCCGCAGTACATTGAGTCAGACGGCGAAGGCACGTGTGTGGCAGTGCTGTTCGCAGTACATACGTTAGTAGAGGGTGATGTAACATGAGAGTGAAAGAGAAGATGGGGGACTGCAGGGGGGTAGTATGCATGAACATGAACTTGTGGAAGTGCATTCAATCCTCAGCTTCCATGGGTTGGAGTCAGCCTCCGTTGTTTGGAGGAAGGCAGGGTAGACTATCTTTTTCATTGGACTTCTTTGCTTTTGTCGGTCAGCGAACGCAACAGTTCTCGCTAGAATTGGATCGGATGTTTTCATGTGATTTGCGATGCCTAAAAGATCCCTAAAGTAGTCAGGGTCGATCCCAAACATTGGATTTACTTGCCCTAAGAAGATCGCAGCTTTCTCAGATGAGCAACTCCACATGGAAAAAACAACTAAATGGCTGGAAGTTGGAGGCAGGAAGTGGAATTCCTCCTGATCCTGATTTGGTTTTTGTTTCTTGCTTCTGCCAAACTCGACACCTTTATTGTTCATGGATTGATCAAATCATATCAAACCTTAAAAAAAAAAACTGCACGCTCTTCGACTCCAACACTTATAAGGAAGCTCGCAAGAGCAAGTTGCAGTGAAGATCCGGAGTGCATTAGCCGTGTAGGATTTACATGGGTTTACACACGCACGCTCTTCGCACACCTCACTGCATGAGGCTCTTCATCCTCAACCTCCCGGAGCTCCAGCTCCGGCAGCTCCTCCTCGGGCGAGGCCAATCCTCCGGTCAAATCGAAAGGGGTGGCCGTTGGAGCACGAAAAACGCTGATGACATCATGCAAGAAAACATGAACAAGCTGCAAACAATGTTCTTTGTTTTGAGATGTGAATTCTCTTGAATGATATGATAAACTGGAAGGAGCTCAGTTGAAACTGGGGTTCCAGGATCGATCGTTAGACAGTTGGAGACGACTGGAACAAGAAGAGACGACAGGAGCAGACAGGAAGAGATGCTGGCAAAGCAGAACTTGTATTGTGCTCGCCATGCTGTTTCAACATGTTTTCTTGGGTCTTTTCTTTGCCAGTCTTTTTGTGTATTAGCCTGTATCAGCTAGCTGCGAAGCTGCGCCGTCCCTACACTTGTCCGCTCCTCCGGAGGATGCAGCATCCCCTACCGCGGAGGTGAGGGAAGACCTCCGAGAATTAGGGCGATGAGCACATTCGAACGACGTGGGTGACACTCGGTGCTTGCGTTTGGAACCGGAGAATGAGAACGGAAGATACTGAAAGCCTGAATGCATAACACCTTTGGGCGGAAACTACGAGGCTTTGGAACGTGTGAAACGAAGTATGAGTCGTGCGGGGAAGGGATATCAGTTGGCAAGAAAGAAACAACTTGCATAGTCTTCCCTCACATACTAGTAGATAGACTGGACGTCCAATACATGCTTAAAGTAGACGTACTTTTGAAATCTTTTGAATGCTATTGATTTGCAGACCTAAAACATCCATTTTGAACTCCCGAACATCGTCCAGGTTTGGTGACGACTCCGATTCTCATGCTCCTTCAGTGTTCATTCACTGGAATCATCTGTGACCCTGCTCCATTCGGGCTCCTTTGATATCGAACCTATCCAACTGCTTGTAGGAAAACAAACAGAATGTATAGGGAAGGTCCTAAGCTAGCTGTCACAGAGGGCATGCAACAAGACAGGGTATATTTCTTAAGAGTTTTCCGGCAGAGCTGGCTCATGCTAGCTAGCAACTTCGTTGCTTGGGTAGTTCTTGCATGGTATTCTTCCTTCGGCTCAAAGCCCTGATGCCCGTAGATGTTTGAATAGAGCCTCCAAACGACTCGGTGTTGGCTACTTCTTTGGTCTGCGCAGTCTTCTCCATATTTGACATGAATTCTTGGCCACACAGGCGGAGGCACGCAGTGTCGGTGTGGTGAGAACCTCAGCGCAGTGGCTTTTAGCCTTCTTCAATGAAGAGTTTCCCAGTCACTTTTGGATGACAGTATCCTCCCAACCCGCCCAACCGCATTCTTTCTAGTTTTGGGGTGCCCTCTTTCAGGCAGCCGTTCTCCAAAAGCCTTTCCATGGATCCTTCACCTTACGGCTCGGACGACATGAGAGATGTTTGGAGTAAGACTCAGGCAGATAGCGACATCACAGTGCTTCTTCAAAAGAATTGATTTTGAACAAGCAAGCCCGGGCTCCGGCCGACTCCTGACAAAGTCGCCTCACAACATCTGTGCAAAGTATGGGAGCTGTGCTGATTCCCCTCCCCTTCACGAGATTTAACAATACACTTAATATACACCCGTTTTTTTCCAATGTGTTTCAATCACACTCATCATAATGTACCATATTAATCCTATATTGGCATCATTTATCATATGCATCCTACAATTCACTTCATCATATTTCATCCTTAGTTCCATTCTTGTAATTCTCCCCAATCCCAACAAAAAAAGCCTTCCATCCTTTCCCCCCTCCGTCTCGCCGACGGCGACTGCAGTCTTCGGTGGTGAACTCCACCGAGCTGTCCGCGCTGGCCGCGCTGCATCCGCAGCTCCGTGCAGCGACCGGTCGGGACGACGCGGCGCGACGTACGCGGCGCGACAGAGGCGCGGGACGCCGGTTACTAATGTCATGTTCAAGTGATAATGAGTCCAATTATATTGTTATTACTATATGTCTATATATTTATACAGTACTTATTAATTGTTGTTTTTTGTTTCATTTTTCGATAGAGGTCATTAAGGTTCAACAGCACATTGGATCTAAGATTATTTGAGGACATTCAACAAAGTTGATCCATCAGGGAAGCAGCTTCCTCAATATAAAGAGTGGGCTACTGTTTTGGTGCTGATCTCTCGGTTTGGGAGAAAAACTTGGGTTGACAGCAAGGAGTCCTGGACTTTTACAAGAGTGATGTGCGGATGTAAAACCCAAGAAACCATTCCGTAGTGAAACCATGCCGTGTGGTACACGCGCCCAAACCTGAAACGAAACGGCCAGAAGTAAAGAAACGGCGAAACGGTGCAGGGAGTCGGAGGGTCCAAGTTAGTTACCCGATCACAAAAAAACATGCGTTGCCCATTTATCATAGAATATCATAATATCCAAGTATATGTTATATAACTATTCTTAGCTAGTAGGTAGTATAGGTACTACTTGTTTTTGTTTTTGTTTCTTTTAAGGGGGGCGGATGTAGTGTTGGACGCATCCACAGCGCCTCTGGTGCTTGCTGGCCAGGTTTGACACAGCAGCTCCTTCAGGAGACCGGGTGTGGGGTGCTTGAAGCCTTTCCACTGCCTGATCTGGCCGCATGTTTCACCTGGACATATCGCGCTTGGTGCGCTTAAGCACTGGTGCAATGTCGAATGTTTAGAACTGCCTAGCCAGTATTGTTGGACTTGACTTGGAGACATTTGAAGACTCACCAAAGACTGCCTGATGTTACTGAGCATTGTCCACCATTTCCCTGCATTCCATTTTTCTGCATTCAAGAAAGAAGCACTACGCGTCCAAAAAACCAAAGGCCTCCTGTGCCATGATGAGCCATGACGAGCCATGTGTGATCGGACGCGGACGCCACTGTTTGGCAGATGAAACCAGGGACAGGAACTCAGGAACGCGACCTTCAGTGTTCTTTCGTTTGTTTCAAGGAGGAGCTTGGGGATGACGATGTGGAAGAGCTCAGGGTTGTGATGAGGCCTGGGAGTCCCAGGGAGCCATCGGGGAGCCATGCGAGACAAGGGAAGACTGAGCCAAAAGCGAGGCATCTCTGGGACGAACTTCACAGGGCTGCAGGGCAGGCTAGTACCAAGCTGGCACGCTGCGTTCGTCCTTCTTCCAGTTGATGGCGGACTTGCACCGGGTGGTCGTTGGTGCATGCCTATCCTGGAGTCATGTTAGTATTCCCGAAGCAACTCACGGTTTGGATGGTTTCAGCGCTAGACAGTCGACACTTGATCTAGCCTGGGAGTTGTAGCTTAGTGTCCATTGAGGACAAGGGCTCAAGTACCAAACATGGACATCCAGGTCATGATGTTGACCAGGCATCTCAAACTACTAGGAGAATTTGGGCCTTTGGGCATAGGACAAGATTGACAAGAATGAGCCACTTGGGGCTGCTTGGACTACGGAACTGACAGAGGTCTGACAGCCCTTCTCAGACAGAGGATGACAGAGGACAAGGGGTCTCAAGTCATGAGAACCCTCAAGCCAAGAGAACCAGCAGATGGACATCACGGGCAAACCCTCAGATGCGTTTCTTCGTCTTTGATCTTGTTTGTCCCTGTTTGTTGCCATATCTCAGCCAACCTTAGCCTCATCCCCCTTTGCAGGTTATTCGCGGCGCATGGCCGTTTGAGGCCGTTGTTTCTTTTGCCCGGAGAGCAGTCGGTTGATTCAAAACTGGAATTGACAGACTTGGTCTTGTTGCCCACTCTTGAGCCACTTCACAATGGATGCTGTAGTCCACTCTGATGTTAGTGAATGTCGATTGCTTTGGCCATGCCAGACCGCTTCCGCTCGGAGTAGGGCCTCCAGGTGTGGCGGTGTCTTTTTGATTCGTCGGCGTGGGCATGCCGTGGGTTTGTGCCATGAAGGAGTGTGCAAAGCTTTGTATGGTTGTGTGTCCAGTTTCCAAATTCAAGATCCGTACTAAGTGCCACCACCTACTTTTGACTCCTAATTACCCAATCTGTGGGTCAAAGTTTCAGCCATCTTGCATGACAACAAACATTTTGGTGTTGCCTTGGCGGATGTCAATACAACCACCTGAAAGTCGTTGGCCCAAGGACAAGTTGTAGGAAACAGAGGCCCTTTTGTAACCAACAGTTTGTTTTGTCCTTGAGCCAAACTCCCAAATTACGGTTCTTGATGTCTCCCATTACCACTGATGATCGGCGATGGCCACACGGTCTTCCTCGGTCCTGTCCGGGTCCAGCAATAAAGGAGGCTTCGGTCAGGCTTCGGCCGGCTGCCCCATAGCATCCATTAGCATCTCAGAGCCTTCATCTCTCATCAAAGCATATCAAAGCCATCCTGCAATCGGTTGAATGATATTGAATGATAGCTTCATATTTGGTGGCGATCGCAGGCCCTAACCTTCGAACCACGCCTTCCTCGTCTAATATCTTAGACTACCGAAAGTGGACATGGAATGACATGGATGTGTATTGGAACAGGGAGAAAATGCAACCACGGTGGTTTCGTTATCTTTGTTCTTTATTACATTGAATATGCCTGGGAGTCTTTCGGGGGTCTTCCTATTTCAATTATTTCAATACACGTCCACAAGGCTTGGCGCCTCTCCAGGTGGTGCCCCAACCTCAGTTGTGTTCGCCCCAGCGGAAGCTGCCCATGCCCATGCAGCACAAGGCGGGGTTCTTTGAGGAGTTTTTGCGGGCGCGTTGTTGCCACTCTTCAGTTGGTGCGTTTCCTTCCACCAACAGCCTTTGTAGGCCAGGGGAGTGATGTCTTTAGTCCATGTTTGAGGATTGGGGTAGCTCCCGAGTCTCAAGATAACCCGAGTCGGTGAAACGATACTTGTTGTGAAGGGAAGCGTCGAACTATGTAGCCCAAGAACTGGCGTAGGCGCAGGCCGCGCAGGCGCCGAGGGAAGCCTCGGATGCTTGTCCAGGGGGACCGAAAGCGAGTCCGAACAAACCCGTCCCCATTTGGATCAAAACTGTAAAATGTACAAACACATACTGTATCACATACTACTATAAAATATAACTATTTGATATTGTTTGCATAAGTTTGCACTTCAGACATCAGACTTGAGCTCTATTACCTTGGCTGACTGGTGGCTGACGCCATCGAATGAAAAACACCGCATGACCGGCAGGACTGGCAACTGTTCAATCCTTTGCTTTTTCCATCGATTCGTCGCCAGTGGCGGCCGCCTTTGATTACCTCCTCAGCACCATTTCGGCCGCCAGTTTGCGCCGACCCGAGGACCGGAGGGGTGCCACTTTTTGGGGTCTGGGTGCCATCGGTGGGTCTCTGGTCCACCCCAATTGCCCAGAGAGTGAAAGCGTGAGAGCGTTTCAGGGTGACCGAATGAGGGAAATTTGTCCTCGGTCCTGTGTTGAAGTGGTCCAGTTTGGCAGGAATGGGCACATGATACCACATGAGCATCTCACATCTTATATCCCTTTAAGTTAAATCGAAGGGCATCCATTGCTGACCAATCACTCACGGGCTCAGCTGCTGACACATGCCGCTGCCCATGGTGCGTGCTTTTCTCATCGGCACAAAGAACAGTTGTTGTCTGTTGTTTTGGTGGGGGGTCCCTATAAGAACTGCTTACTCCCAATTGCTCATCAAAGCCATTGAGATTTCGCCAAACAGATTTACCATGAGCAATACCGATCCCATCCGATCCCATTCGACCCCCGACCCCGGTTTCTCCCTGTTGTCGGGACAGGAGCAGTTCACCGTTTCCATGCGCCAGATCCCTCCAGGCCGGGAAGGAACGAACGTCTCGAAACATCGACCCAGCGGGTCGTTGGGCTCGGGTGCGCCAACGACTGGGCGGATGCTGCTTACCATGAGTACTTCCCATGGGGGGATGGTGGGCTCAGTTACGTAGTTTCGAAGAGCAGCCTTGTGTTAACCCGAGACAGCTTCAAATGAACGTCATTCATAATGATTGAAGGACCAGTTGTCTTATACGAAAAAAATTCGAAGGCAAAGCTCTTCGCGCTCAAATTTCATCATCAAATAACACCATAACACCAGCGACTTGGGAATATATGGGATGACAACCTTCACTGTTGACATCCCGATTTCACTTCCACATCAGCCATCAGACCGCAGACAAGCTTGGTCTCAAACGCCGAACTGGTCCACCGACTCCACCGCAGTCGTCAGGGCTGAGAACTCAGGCAATCACCTTGGGACAAAAAACTGACCCTTTGCTCATTATATAAATTATATCAATTATATCTCATTATACCTATGGATTATCCCAGGAACTGGAACATAACGGAAGAACAGAACGGGTGAGCTCTTCCTTCTTGAAGCTCTTCCTGAAGCTCTTCGGGTTCTTCCACGAGCCTCACGAGGCATCTACGTGGATCCTTGGGCGAATCGATTCTCCCCAGTCGCCTCGGCCTGGAACACCGAGACGGTCATCGCTGGGTGGAGAGAGTGGGAAAGGAAGAAGAGGAGTAGAAGAAGAAGTAGAAGGGTTGTTTCTTTCTTTTTATGTCTTTGAATTTTGCAGCTGCCAATTCCCTGGTTTGACATGTTTGCAGTAGCTGTAGATGATCCCTGATGATCCCAAGTATGATACCAAGAGACTTCTGAGATCTGTGTGGTTTCCATATAATCTAATAAATGCAGATACGTTTGGATACAGTGGGCCGAACCCAAGGGGATGCAAGTTGACGCTCCAAGTTGGCACGCCGATGGGCTTCAAGTCTGGGATCTGTCCAGTCCCTGCAATTCCCTGCGTGACGTGTTTGGATGTGCACGTCAAGTCGCATTGTTCTTTTCATTAGATACAACTGGTGCATAAATAGATGGATATATATAAAGGGATGTGTGTGTATATATATATATATAGAGGGAGAGAGAATGCCTTGTAATACCCGTGTACAACAAAAAGACAGTTCTGCAGCCAAACGCACCTAAGAGAACCCAAGAGGCGATCAAAACCATGTACTTGCCATGTACTCCTGGTGGTCTGACTTGATGGGCATGTGACATGTGAATGTTTCTCCGGCGTCAGCTAAGTTGCTATGGTCCAAACTGAGTCCTCCAATTTTGTGACTTTTACTGGATGCATCTGGATGCGATCCAAGATAGTTGTGTATTTTGCGTCTCCAGAACACTTGGGTTTTGGAAAGACCTGTGAAAGGTACATAGAAGAATAAATTTCAGGTCTCCAAATCATCCCAAGTCCTCGCCAATCCCAAAAACCCTCATCCTCCAACTCCATTTTTGCCTCAAGGCGGGTCGCCTGGTCCAATCCTTGAAGCGAAAACCCACCCCCAGTGGCTGTTTCATCGGCCCGGCCGACTCGGCCCCCGGGGCACCGGGGCACAGGTGCCCTTTCGGATCCACTTCACTGGAGCCCGCACCTTCGATGTGGATGCCATGAGCTCCTCGGAACAGGGTGGAACCCTCCACCACTCGCAACCGAGAACGATTCCCTGCGCCTGCCACGAAAGAAACAATCGGGGGCTTCAAAATGGGGACAACAAGACGATAGTTCCACTGGCGACTGGCGCGAAGCAAATTGGGACGTGGCATGACGTGTCATTTGGGATTGGTGATCTGCGGACACCTCGAAGGCAGGGAGAGGGTTGCAGTGTGCGAAGTCTGTTCTGGATTTGCCTTCATGGGATGCTGCATGACTTCATGAGGTGGTTCCTAGTTCGCCACATTAAGGTCTCATACTTTCTCACACCAATACATGTCCGTCCTGGTGGTGAAGAGATTTAGGGCAATGATAATGAAGCCGATTTGTGGTGATTCAGCGCTCCTGCGGTTCGCAAAATCTTTGGAGGAGGCAAGACACCCCCGAAGATCAACATCAACCTGAAAACTTACGGGGTAGATCCCTTTCAGATGATATGCTCGAGCATTGCACAAAACCTTCTGAAATTGAGCACATCCCTTGCAATGTTGACTGCAGATCAATTAATAATCACCCCCCCTCCTCAAATCCATGAGACTCCTGATAAATAATTGATTCTGACAATTCAAGAGGAAATCAAGAGGAACTAGGAAACAGTAGGAAAAACATCATTAAAAACAATCATTAAACACAACAACAACAACAACAACAACAATAGAAAACAACAATAAATAACTACAAATAAATAAATAATCTAAAAAAATAAATATATATACCTGGGAACCAAAACAACCAGAAACAACTGGTTGTTTCAATAGATCCTCTACATAGGAAATTGATGTTTGCGGAAACATCCATTTCTTTCTGGTTGTTTGGGGTTACAGGTATATAAATATTAAAAATAAAGAATGTGTAGATATTATTCTGGGAGGGGTAACTAATCTGCATTCAACATCACTTGTCATTGTGTGCCTGATTGGAGACTCGTCAATATCCAGTGCAACTCCATCGCTCCCATTACCACAGATTTTGCATGATTTTGCTGAGGCTATGAAGAACTCTTGCAGTTAGCTGCCGCTTGGCGGATGTCCTTCGGGGAAGAGAAGCTTGGTGGTTCTTCACACTCACCTACTGTAAGTCGACATCCGCACCCCCCGGATGCTTCTTGCTCGATGTACGTATTTCCAATCCTTTGACTAAATGACAACCTGCTACAAGTAGAAGTGATAAGAATATAAGAATGGATAAGAGGATATATAATAAGAGGATAACACTACATATGTTGGCTGCATTCGGAGGGTCCAGTTATGTCTTGAACGATTTGGAAAGATAGGCTCATACGTACTTAGGAATCAGCAAAAGTTCAACTTTAGGACTGTGGATTGTAGTTCCATTGAGCCAGAGCTTCACATGCTTTTATCAACTCTATTCATCTGTCACGCCACCTTTCCACCACATTCCACCACATTCGACCACGCTCCACCTTCAACCCACAGGAAGAGTTGGGGAGCGTGCCACACCCACGTGCGACGCCCGAGATGCTGGGACGTCTACCCTTGCGATCCCGGCGCGGATTGATGTCGTGCTTCGGTTCGGCAGGGCTGGCAGGGCGGGCACTGAGCATCGCAGAGCCGGGAAAAATCTTACATCTTCCACAGACTCAACAGCATACAGTAGGCATTCTTTGTTGATGGTGCACTTCTGCCCCTCCCGGAAATCAAACCTTGCCAGCTCTGGTTGAGAGCCCGACCATTGGACTCACGCCAGGTATCGATACAACGGTGCTGAGAAGGACACCCGGTGCGTGATTTGTCAAGAGGCGGGAGCGAAAGGCGAAACAGTGGGAGTAAGTTCGCCCGTGTTTGTAGGCTTGGCACTTGGCACAACATGAAAGTATGACCTTCACCAATACCTATACCTATACACATGTACATGTGTGTGCACAACGAAGATACCTACAGGTTGAGAGTCAGGGAAAGCACGAGACTCCTTTTCACCCAAAGCTCCAGAAACTGAGAGTCATCCACATCCACCCCTGGGCTAACAGGTAGGCTGCGGCACAAAGGGAAGGTATTCTCGGGCCTGTGTGATGGAGTTGCCTCAGCATGCACTCACTGTATCTAGGTCCAGGATTATATTCCTGAGAAGTTTGACTGCAATAAAAAGAGACGCGACAAAACTGCACTCACATGTTTAAAAAAGAGTACGAGACCTCTCCATTTCTTGGTCTGGAACCGCCTTGAGAGACAGGGAGAATGAGGGAGAGGCAGAGAGCCAGATGTTTTGTCAATGTGTGCTTCACAAGCTGCGTTTCACTGCGCGAGGCCTATGAGATTGGCGAGGAGGTTCGAAAACTGCCATGCTCCCATACCTATCACAGGCGATGGAGATGGGTGGAGAGCAGATTAGTTATTGGTGAAGATCAGTTCAGGTTTCCGACAGACACATTTATATACTGTACGGAATCATGATGAAACGCAACAACCAAAGGGAATCCTTGCGAGGGCGGTCGGCTACTAAAACATGGAATCTGATACTATATTCATATAATTGAGAAGCTTCGCACACCAGCGAGGCCCGCGGGCGCAGACTACAAGCCATTCTCAATGCAAACACTGCTCGGTCACCGCGCGGGCGGGCGCATGCTCTCCCACCGGAAATAGGATTATTCTAGGCCTAAAGAAAGCCTCAAAACTACGCTATTTGCGTACTTTTGTACACTTCTGCGGCAGCAAACACCAATGGTTTTAGGCTATCAAGTGCTCAAAAACATTCAACAATGCAATATGTACGAGGTTTTTTCATAATTCTGCAAGAAGCACGGAATTTAATGTTGGATGTTGATTAGTAAACCGGTCTTCAATAATGCTAAATTTTTCCAAAATTATTCCAGATCCCATGTTTGAAAAAGTGGTCATGAATAATGCTAAATTTTTTTGGGGACCCTAATATATATATATATTTAAATATTGGACACCTAATAAGGGTTTGAATTCCTTCTGAACCCTGTCCACCTGCACTCCCCCCTCCCTTCCTGATTCATTAGCTGATATAGGTTTCTCTAGGTTTTCTTCAAAACTGACAGCTTTCCAAACCCACCAATCCCTAATGCAATCCTTTATGTGAACATTGCTCCTAAACAAATTTTCAAGGTAGTAGACCAGGAAGGCACCTGATCATCAATAATAGATTTGTTTTAGGGGTTGTCAATTGTGAAACATTTTTTCCACTGGAAGAATAGATCTGCCCATGGAATAGATCTGAGGCTGCAAAGCAAAAGGATTGCTGAGAACAATTACAAAGCACCTGAGAAATCAAACTGAATACAATCTATGAAAGGAAAATGAATACAACATTGAATTGCAAAAGGAAATCTACCAGGAATCCAGATTTGATTTGGTACTAGTTTATTTTAGACGACCACCCATTCGTTTAGCTAGGGGGGGGACCCCCCTTTACTAATCACGATCCAACATTACAGTGTTTTGCGCTCACGCGCCTTCAAAGACGTTGGTATTTATGCAGTTTTTGCAGCATTGCAACACACTGTAATTTTCAGTGTTTGGCGCCTTGGCGCGTGCCAAAAGAAGAGCTCAAAGTCGTCCCCAAAGGGCCCAAATTCTGCACCCTTCCAGATCCATGTTTTTGTTGTCGATTTTTACAACCTTTCTTAGCGACCCTTTGTGTCGAAAAAAGCCTCTCCCCCACCCAACTCAAGGATTTTGATGCGCTTCTCCTTATGCCGAGTTTTGAATCGCTCACGATCCAAAAACGGCTCAAGATGCAGGCGAGAGCACCGTCTTTTAGGTCACGGACACACCACTGCCAAACGTCCCTCCACGCTATTACACGATCTAATTCCACACCAATTACCAAAAAGTAGTCTTCGAAGCTGAGCGGTCAGACCTTCACCAACAAACACTGCGGACCTTGCAGAGCCTGGCGTCCTTTGGCGCGCTCCCCACCATCATCCGGGGTCGGCGGATTATATATTATATATTATATAACATATTTGCAAATATGTATATTATATATATATGGAATCTGGTCTCCACACGTGATCAATCACGCTTTTTTTAATCCTCATGAAGCCACACCTCGCCACACCAGGGCGTGCATCGATCGGTGGCTCACCACAGGGACTGCCATCTCCCTGCAATGCCCGTGGGAAGTCCCGGGCGTCGTTCGAGCGGATCGACCGGGCTGATGGGCGGGCGTCGCGTCCGAAGGGCGGGCGAGCCAGCTTCATGGCCCTGGGTGACGGTTTTTGCTGGCCGGTGCAAATTGTGTGATAGGTGCTTGGTAGGTGGTCACGGGGTTGAAAAGGCGAAAAACATTGAATGAGACTAATGATGCCGGTGGACAGTGGATCTTCTGATCTTCTTTGAATCATGCTTGGACGCTGACCAAAAACACATTGATACCGACCATTGACCATAGATGGCGGACCGGTGTCCACAAGGGTCTTTCTCCTTTAGTGGCCACAGAAGATTGTAAAAATCTCATCCAGATCTTATTAGTTGGGCGAAGCGCACTGCTGCCTGTCTCTAGCCAAGGCGAATCCATTGGGCCTTCTGCTTTGAAAGCACTCACTAATCCCAGCGGACGATGTTTCCAGTGGACATTTTTGGTTGGAAGATGCACCCTCTGATCTAGTTTCGGGTTTGACATGAGCTACATGCAGGTGATGCCCGGGTATCAACCCATATCTTTGCGGCTTCTCACGGCCTGTGATGCTAAGGATCTGCAAAGCTCCAGCGATTACATGAGAGAAGACAGTTTTTCTGTGACAAGGATCCATGAGGTTCGGAAGGGATTTTGAGGAGCAGGATGACAATGAATTCCTCTAATTACCACAGATCTACAACACTAACAGAGGAGATTTGTGATTGTTCTATGTTTCCGTTGGGGCCGGCTAGATGTGTCAGGTGGTTACAAAACGATTGTTTACTTCGCACATCGGCTCAGCAGGTGAGTCTGTGCAGAGGTGGCACTTGGTGGTGCGTAAAGGATTGCATGATTTCCTGCCCGTGAAGCGAAGTCCATCGAGCAGGACTTTTGAAAGCTCTTTAAGTCCCACTGCAGCGCGCCACTGGATCCGGAATCAAGAGGGGCGCTTAGTTGCGACGGTCGACGACCCGTCGACGGTTAATGAATGTGCATCGTGTTGTGGTGTTGTCTCAAAATGGGGAGACCCCCCAACCAACGAGCTTTGAATCTTCCGGTGGGGGGGTCTCCGCATTTCAAAAGCAACCGTGTATATAAGAGAGTTTCGGTGAGAGGTTCAGGGTCTGATACAAATGCCACTCGCATGAGCTGGTTGCGCAAAAGCGAGCTTCCCCCAGGCGCCAGAATCAGCAAAGTCACATTGGCCGGACTTTGACTGAGAAATCATGTTGACCTGTGATCTGTTGGTCCGGTGGGACAAATTATGTGCCAAGATAGATATGCGTTAGGCTCATTTTTCACAAGAGTGACCATGGGAAGTGATTTGCCCAGAGTGATCGGACTTTGTCATATGAAGTGGTCATTACGAGCACTTACTTGTTTGACTAACAGGTTCGTTTGTGCGTCCGCAGTGCCAGACGTTCATGCCGAACCAACATGCTGCATGCTCATAATCATTCACGTAGAGTGAAACTCATGAAGATCAAACCTCTCACCGCTGATGAATCAATGGGGGGGGAAAGCGAAGGCGTGACCTTCAACCCCCATCAGGATGCCATCGGGTCAAGCAATAAGTTGGTGTCGGATGGTGCTGGCGAATGTTAATGACATGACCAGGTCTTTAGGTGGAGGAACTCCCTTTTTTCTTGGAGCAAAGGGCATCGCTACTAGCAAGGACGCTACTAGTATGTCCTGTGATTCAGATCCCTAGTGACTGGATGAGAAACTGAGGATGTGTTTGCATCATATTTGAGATCTGCTGCACGAGGGGTGTTCTGTTTGGAGGAACATGCCCTTCTAGGAAACCTTGGAGGGGCATGCATGTAGGTGGATTCAAGACCCACTATATATTCAGTTCAAGCATTGGGCATGTCCGAAAGCTTAACACTTGAGTATATAGATGTGAGTAGCTTGCAGTGTCTGTCGCCAACCTCTGGACCTAAAGGTGTCCATCAGAGAAGCGAGAAGCCGTTGGCATAGAAGGCACTGTCCTATGAGTGGTTTCAGCTTCGAAAGAAAATGAGGCGTGATGCAAGCGACTGTACAACTGGGGGAGGAACAAAGAAGTATTTTTCCTGAACCCCAATGAGAGGAACATGAGGAACCACAGCCAAACCTGGATTGGATACTCTTATTCAACAGGTCAAGTGCCTTCGAGTTTGTGATTTAGAAACACGCAATCCTAGATGGATCCTGCGCCTACATACAAGCACCCTACCTTATCCCAAGCCCTTCTCTGTCATACAGTACTATTCGCCTTTGGTACATTTGTCATCCTCCCTCCCCACAAAGAATTACGCTGACTTTAAAGTTAGTTTCTGAACACTTTTCATATGCAGCTGACATCAAAGCAAATGACATTGTGGCAGCTTTCACATGCAGATGAAGCCAAGATAGATGACATTCAGGCAGGTTTCCTGCCATCATGCTTGAACACATGCATAATTGCATAATTCGGAAAACACACACAGTCACATATATATATATAGATATATCCACATAATTTCCTGCTTTGTTTGTATTATTGTTCCTTCTTAAGCGTTCAATGTTGTGCCATTTGTCAAAGCTTGTAGGCGTTGTAGTATTTATGGGTGATGAGTTGATGATGGTCATCGACATTGCCACTGCCTGTAGATGAAGCTGGTCCTTTGGAAGATTTTGGTTGATTCTGAATGTCAGACGAGGTTGCAGCTCGCAGACCTACGAGGTTGTCAGGTGTTGTTTGTTTTGACGAGTTTGACCAGATCCCCAACACAAGACGGACTCAACTTGTTGGGCGCCCCGGCGCCTCCGGACTAAGGCGGACATTGAGGAATGGACGGTGAAGGGGATCAGGCCGGGGCGTTTGACGGGAACTTGGCGGATGCCGAATGAGCAGCGCTGCGGAGGTCTCATCAAGAGGTCCCAGGTGCTCATGTTCTTGTCCCCGTCGGGTTGCAAGGTTCGCCGTTTGAAATGAAGTCAGCAAAACATGCAGTTGAATGCAGTTGATCAATCTGATTAACATGTGGTACTACTTGGCAGTATGTTATTTCAACCCATCCCACCATTTGTAGAGTTGAGTGCCTCGCAAGTGGTGCAAGAGAATGATCCTCAATTTAGGAATAGCTCAGAAAAAGCAATCCCACCGGCACTCCCCATCCACACCTCCGCTCAAAAAAAGAAACAGAACCTCACATCCACCGATGAGTTGAGGGGCCATGAGCTCGCTGTTCAAAGCTGGTGCTCTTCTTTTGATGCATCAAGCTCACTCTCTTTTTCAAGAGCAGGTCCACCCCAGTCAGCCAGTTGAGGTCATGGACCCATGGACATCAACATGGACCCATGGACATCATGGACCATTTTCCTCGTTGGAACCAAGTGGTTTGTCTGAATCTGCAGGGGAGTAGGTCACAGGGAGAAGACCAGAATCGATCTTCGGAAGCCAACTGGGAAGCCACTTGACTCTGCTGGAACGAGGTATTCCATCACTGCGGTGAACTGGAAGAACGAGGCAAAAAATGTCCGGGAAGCCAAGCTGAAACCCATGAAGTTCCAACAACCCCAAAAATCATGTTATAGAAGGTCACTGGTGATCATTGAGACCAGTATACCATCAGATACCCATTGTCGGCTGCTATGATGATGCCATGTTTTTGCCTTGTGTTCTTTGTTTCGAGGAAGAGACGATCATCATGACGTGTCTCATGCAATCGTGACTCTTCCTCAGTTGAAACATGTTCTCCTTAACCTGCTTTCTGGACCTGTTTTCAATCCAAAGCAACACCAGACCTTTGTTGTGCCACTGAGATCACTAAGCAGCACCAGTTTCAGTTCAGCAACACAGAGGCACTTGGGCATAGCTGGGCAGTGGAGGAAGAGTTCCGGAAAGAGGTTTATTGTGTTCCGTAATGCTCTCGCCGGCCTCTCGGAGAAGGGTTTTTGGAAGAAACCATGACGATGACTCAAATGAGGCAAGGCCAGCCTCGGGCAATGCCCCAGGGGAGAGTGGTGAACGGGTGAAGTGCCTGTTTGGTGGATGAGAGAGGACTTTGTTTTTTTGATGAAACTGTTGCTGATCTTTCTACATTTACATATGTCTACCTATTGTTCGTGCTTGCCAAATGCCAAACAAAACTGCCCACGGACTTCCTACATTGCATTCAAGACGAAAACTAGAAATTTGCCTCATTCTAGCCCTTCCTTTAGTGACTCTTTAGTGCAGGAAACAACCATTCGAAAAAAAACACCGGATTCCTTCACAGGGAGGACTTGGTGCTGGTGGGAAGTGGTGTGGTCACAGTCCGTCTTGAGCCTCCACTGACCCGGGAAAAAGAGCTGCAAGACAAGAATTCTTAGATAGATAAATATAATATATAGTTATTTAATGTGTGTTCTTTACTTACTGCATATATACTCTGTGTGTAGTCAACATCAGTCATTAATGTTCAACACCTGTTCAAGAGAAGTGACTAGCTGAAGCTTTCTCCTCAGCAAAAAAAGCGGACTTCTTGATTACTGTAATCAGTTCTTCCAGCAAACCTCGTGCAAAGTGTAAAACATCGCTGGAATCATGGAAATCTTTCTTCAATGGACGCAAGGCACGGAAACATGGCACTCGGTTTTGAGGTTGACAATGGCTGGCACAGAGGCTTCGCCAATGTCGAGAACATGACTGAGGAACAGGTCGAGACTATGAGACATGTCGAAGGGGTCCGACATGTGTCGAGACCTGTCGGCGTTGGGGAAGAGGAATTAATTCAAAAGAATCAAACAGAGACAAAGAGTGAATTCAGGTGAATTCTTTTTTTTAAAGGCATTTTTTGCACTCACAAGCTTATGTGATTAGGCTGCGGTTCGCTCAACTTGCTTAAAACCACATGCCAACAGCCAGGGAATCGCAACACTAGCCAGACATAACAGCTTGCACGTAGGCCGACAGTACAGGTACTTATTGCAAGGATTCGATGTTCTTGGAGGAGGACCATAGGGTCTGTCTAGAAAACAGTGGAAGCAATTCATTGACAACCAACTAATTACTGACCTAGACTTGGACACAGACACAGGCCATGCGTGCCATGCGTGAGAAGAAGGGTTGTACAGTAAAATTTACAGTAAATGTCTACCCAGACGAAAAAAATCTTTAGATTTCATACTGTTTGATTCACTGCTGGGATTTGTGGCATATAGCTCCATGATTGGTGAACCTAATCCTAGTTAACAGGTCAAGGGGAAGCTTTCAATGGCAAAACACTCTCCCCTCAACCAAAGTGAACAAAAGCTGTGATGAGGGACAAACCTTTGCTACCTCTACCTACCAAACCCTTTGACCACCAAACTGTTTTTGAGATAGGTTGGGTCAACAGTTTATGCAGAAACCCTCTCTCAAACAATCATTGATGAAAGCCGAGCCGTACCACCGCAATATTGTCTTCCAGGTTCCTATGTTCCACTCTAATGGTTATTTGAGGAAGGGAAAGACCTCTAAACACCCCCAGTTTTCAGACAACTGGAGAATCGCAGGGCTGGCTCAGTGAACGTGGTGAGCTGTGCTTCCGGGGCAACCTGTGCTGCCGGAGAGCTGCCGGGGTGCCTGGAGAAAGCCGCTGCAATCGTCCAACGAGCCCCAAATCACTTTGGATCCATTCCTAGCATTGTGGCTCTGAAAGAAAAACCATCTGTATTTGGGCTGGATGTGGTTTGGTTTGTGGATCCGAGGCGGACTTGGCTCAACCAGACCACTTCCTCGCAAAACCCATCGTTTTCATGTGTTCTCGTCCTCCAACGTCCCTGTCTTCCTTTTTGGGGCCGAATGTGGGGCCAGAAGATGCGCATCACACTGTCAACAAGGTCAACACTGCGTCAACACCTCATTGCTCAAATCGTTCTTGACCTTTATGTGGTGCACATGGGGGGGCTTTTAGGGCTTCACCCAAAGCCTGCTCAGATTGAGGACAATCAGAACATCATGTTGTTTCCTGACTCACGTGTCAGCTCATCCTTTGCAACTTTGTGGCAGGCGTTGTTGTAGACAAAAACTATCCGAGAACGGCTTGATTGTGGGAGATGGTGGGAGAAGGTTGGTAAAGAAGAAGACGTCATACAACAAGCTTCATTTTCAGAAGACGCAGAAGAAAGAGAAGAAGACGATGATGAGGAAGAGGAAGAGGAATAAGGAAAAAAGGGAGGAGAAGAACAAGCAGGAAGCAGAGGCATGGCACGGGTGAAACCTTGGGAAGCTCATCGCTGCTGCCAGGACATAGATGACCATGTTTGCTGTGGAACTTATCGATAGGAACGACACAAGTGAGTCTGTTGTATGCAAGATTTGGCCTTGGTTCATTCCTACAGAAATCACGCAAAAAGCTCACAGCTTTGGGGGTTGAGATTAAAAGCTGAACATCCCTTCTGCGAGCACATACTAGATATATGGGAGAGTGAATCCCCTCACAGACTTTTGCCTGTCTCACTCTGTTCGTGTTTAAGGAGGTGAAGATTGGAGCCGCGGCTTACAGCTCAGAGGTGGGTGGGTCCCAAGCAGATGAAGACTCAAGAGACAAGCAAATTCGTCCCCAAACAAATCAATCCTGCAATATCCTGCAATGCAAGTGAATCATGATCCAGCTTAGGGCTTAGGGCTTCCCCTCTAGGCGCAACTCCTCAACCTCAGCCAATCAGAGTCTGAAGAGATTGCTTGGTGGATTCGGGCGAAGGAGAGGTTGAGGGAAGAGTTCATGCTCGTTGTGGTGGTTTGAACCCTTTGAGTACCTGACCTGACCTGGTTATGGTTGGGAGCAGCCCGCCACAGCTGATTAAGCAACACTCCTTTAAAGCACACACGCACACTTATACACATGAAGGCGACTTGCCTTCCAGGCCTTGGAAGAACAAGCGAAGGCAAGAGCATCCAGACTCACCCGCTTGCTTTCCTTCGATTCCTTGTTCCGAAATTGTCCCCCAACTTGTGGCTATGGCCAGAAACACATGTATTTGTACGCCCTTTAACTAGGGCAAGTGGACAATGAGTAATCAGTAATCATCATTTTTTGTGGCATCTAAGCTCTTGGTTTGCTGCTTAGCAGCAAGCGGCTCACCCGCTTTGGTCATCAGGCCATTCTGGCTGAAGCTTTAGCACTGCCAAACTCAAGCAACTCAAGCGCCAACATTCCACCCCAACATTGTCGCCCTAAATTGAACAAGAGCCTTGAGCTGCACACTATTATCTGCGCTTGGTGACATCAACACTTTACATCTCATTAAGGCCCAACAAGGCTGGCAGCAGGAGAGAAGAGTGAGTTCAGTGACTCGAAATGACTTCTCCCGTGGGAAATCCATGGCTTCTCACTGGAGCTTCGCAGCTGCCACACCCCGCCCCTCCGTGTCGCCCGCGCGGTGCGCCGTCCCGGGTCGCGCGCGGGGCGCTGTCGGAGCTGCCACGCCGCGGGACGCTGGCGGCGGTGGCCGTTGGAGTGGGCGCCACCCTGGCGGCGGATGGCGTGCTGCGGGCCACCCAGAGGGGCTACGCGGCGGCGGGGCCCGTGCTGTGGCCGCCGAGGCTTACGAGGGAGACACTTCGGAAGGAGCTGGTGGAGGGGCAGATCTGGGGATTGGAGCAGGCAGGGACGATTTGGGTGAAATTGGATGTTCCATGATGTTAGAAGGACTCTAGAGCGAGAGAGGGAGAGAGAGAGAGAGAGAGTGTTGGAGTTGTGCCATGTTTCGGCTTTTTTTGGGGCAATTACTTGAGCGGCAAGAATCATAAGGTGGGTATGTTGGAAGCTGTAAGCTGTCTGTGTAGGTCGCAAGAGAGTAAGTCAAGCCCGCTGAGGTTTGTCCAAAGAAACTTGGAGGCGACCGAGGGGCGGACAGTTCTTGTTTTAGACAAAACCAATCAAATACGTTTGGACAAGCTATCAAAGCTCAATGTCGCAAGGTGATCGCATTCTTCACCGTTTCTGCAAACATTCGGATGCTGGTGGTGCGGCTTTCGGACGGCAAACTCTGGGTCTGCGGCCCCATAGCTCCTACCCAAGCATCTGAGCTGTGTTGAAGCTGTGTTGGGAATTCGGGCAGAACAGCGGCAGAAACCTTGGTTTGTGCACGAGCAGAGCACACAGTGACACAGACTCTGATATTGATGTGTCACGCGATGACATCTGTGATCATATATACATATCACATGATATATATATATATATCGTATGCATCGTATATATATAGTATGCTTAGATCAATTTTAAATTTCTATGTTCACATGAAGAACTGGCACAACATCAACATGAACCATGGTGGTCCTCAAGCAGAAGAACTATGGAACTGGAACATACTGGAACCTACATGAGGTCGCTTTGAGAGAAGATGGTTAAGGGATCACCGGCGTTTGGAAGTGGGGAACAATAACATGTCCGGGTAGATGAACTGTTTTCCTAGCCTTCTTGAAAAGCAAGCACCTCAGCCACATGGTCCATGCACAGGCTCTTTGTGGGACAGAAGTGAGCCATTATGAGACAAACATGCGACCCAAGCGCGATCAAATCCCCAACATCCTGGGGGTGAACGAATTGAAGGCGATTCAGGCAACCATCAATTTCTTGCCAGAAGTGGCTCATAGGTGTCCTTGCTGGACCTGATGTTGCACAATCTAACTGGGCCCCATGGTCACCATTGGTCATTGCCAATTTCAGGAGTGTTTGCAACTCTTGGATTCCCTGGGCCCAGTGGGCCACTTGGTGGTACCGGGCAGCGCCTTGGAGCACAAGTCCTCCCTCAGTGACTTCTCTCGGCGCTATCCAAAGGCCTCAGCGACTCGCCTGTCTATCATCCGATTCAGAACGATTTCAGGCGATTCATCGAGCTGAATCGGAGATGCCCCTGAAATCGTGCTTGGACTTCAGTTGTCAAAGAAGCCTCAGTTTTTTTCTGGAATCGACCTGGCAACCTGCTCGGAAGAGCCTCACTACCCTCGCTGAGGTTTGGGTCTCTCCTGGTGCCTCAGGTGCCTTGGGAGATCCTCCCTTGGGTCGCGTGGACGGTGTTTTGGGCGAGGGCACTCCACCCTGGGCCACAGAGATCGACTTCAAGGTCTTCTACGTGGCTCCTCCAGTGCCCGGGTCCGGTCGCGCAAGTTGTGCGGTTCGCGGGACCCGGGCCGCTCTCCGAGAATCCAACTAGTAGCGTCCTTGTTCCTACTATTTTTTGTTAAAGATGGAGGAAGACGGACTAAAGTCATCCAAAGTCGGTCACTTGCATTTGGTCCAGCGGCACACTGTTGCCACCTGCTAAGTGGTTGCCAGCTTTGGGTGCACCCAGGTTCAGCGCTTTAGATGAAGAGGGCGACGGTTGGAATCGGAATGTATACTGTAAACCGTTACCCTAGGATAAAGGTATGTCTATTATTTTCGTCAATATTCAATCTAAAACTCGAAGTCACCTTTGCACATTCGGTGACTTGCTAAGATGCTCTCCACTTTTTCGTCCATGGATGTTTCATTATGTTTTGTTGGAGTCTGGCAGCGTGGCCTAGGAAACCGCAGGCACTTATGCGGAGACCGCCTTCTTTCACAAGAAGACGCAGACGCTCCTGTTGACAGATGCGGTTTTGAAGGTCCCTGATGCAGCTCCTGAAATCTTGGCATCTTACGGTTCCTCAGACCAAATGAACCAACCATTTTTACTATCACCTTTGTTTGGCTGGGCAGACACATGGATGGGCACCCACATGTGGGTTGCGAAAACTGATCTTCAACTTGATCGCCCTTTGATCTATGCTTCAGCTTGATAAGACTCGAACTTCTGCATATAACTTGTATTGTTGAAGCAAACCACCAGCGGTCCATGTCTGTTTTGTTGGAAGTCGACTGGACCAGCCTTCGGCCCCAGCGAAGCCTTTGGAGGCAACGACCTGGAGCAGTGACGAGTCCGAGTCCCACCGGGGTGGGGATGGTTTTGATTAGCTTTTGCCAAGGTTATGACGGAGAACCTCGACAACTCTCCGACAAGGAATGGTACTACAAGCTTCTCGTGAAAACCTTTAGATGTGAAGGCCTTTGGCTGAACAGAGTGAATGTTGCATTTTTCGCAATCGCACAGAGCGAGCAAGGGTTTTCGGGCATGGCCCAGGCAAAGTTTCAACCTGGACATTCAGAGAAATCTGAACTTCTAGTACTAGCCAGCTGGTTCTCCCACTGCTTCTCAGTCCCTCTCAGAAAAACAACAATCGAGAGTGTTGGTGAGGGTTGCAAAAAAGCATGAACCAATTGTATGGCGGCTAAGCCGGTCACACACCGAGACATGAAATGACAGATAGCTTGATGGGTCAGTGTTAGGCGGCTGTGGGGGACCCAACAAGTGTTGTTTTCTGAGGTTTTTGGCTTTTAACTTCTTGGAACTTCGTGGCCAAGATCAAGAAGACTTTCAGGCTTTGGCAAAGGCCAAAGGAGTGGCAGCTTGTCCAAGACCGGCGGAGCCCTCATGGTTTGCTATTTGCTAGTGCAAGGTCTCAAGAGTAGCTACTCTCAGTGTGATTTAGATGTTTCCAGGAAGGGAGGCCATCGAAAGCCACGACCATCAAAAGGTTGCTGACCCATAACCCCGTAGGCGTTTTCAATCTTTTTCCCAAGCCACCCATGAAATCCTTTGGATGGCAGATTCTTCATGTTCTATTTATGGGCAGATACAGGGGAATCGCTGGGGATGAAACTCTTAATTTGTAGTTATGGCATGTTATGGCAAAACAACTTTGGTTCGTCAACGTAAAGGACCAGAAACCTTCAAAAAGTCCACCAGTGGCATCTGATGCTGGTTAAACAAAGGCTTGTACTTGTACTTGTACCAGCCTCGTCTCATCCAGATTTAGGCTTTCATCCAGATGGGCACATCCTCTGAACTTATCACCAAAAGGTTTTCTTCAAGATACCCCTGTGACCCCCTGTGTAACTCCGCCACACATTGGCTTTCAGTAAGAAGCTTGACGACACACCACGTGAGCTGCATGAGAGTCATTTGATGAGGTGAGCCCAATCTTGCGCTTCACACTTTATCCTATTTGTGGCTTGGCACTGAAGCTTAACGGCGTGGCAGGTAGGGACCCCGACCTCTTCAGGCGTGGTGCTTTCATGAGTGACCAAGGACATTTACACCATTTTGGAGATCAAGAAGCCTTTCAGGGCCAGTTCTCACAGTTCCTTCACTTTCTGGTTCTTTATCAAACTTTATCTTGGTTGATTTGTTGTCGTCCTCTCCTTGACTCCATAATGGGCCCTTCGTGTCGGCACTTTCAGGTCAAGCACAAGCCCAGCGATGGGTCACTGCAGTGGCCCAGTGGCCATTCCGCCGTGCAGTGGCCGGACACCTGGCCTCCCCATTTCCCCTCACTCCACAGGCAGGATGGGGTGCTTAGCATTGCGAAAGGCCATGATCCGAGGATTGCTTTTTTTTACTTTGAAATTTCGCCTCAGTTGCATGACTTCGAACTTCCGAACATCCGTGCCAGCCCTCTTTTTCGGACGAGGACTTTCTGGACGCCTTTGGTTTTCTGCGTGGAAAGCCAAGCTCTTGGGAACCCCAGCGGCCACAGTTGGTGAACTTGCAAAAAGCTGCAGAGAGCTTGGATGGGCCCGAGGCTCATGTAGGGCTCATGTGGGGCTCATGAGCCGGCGAACGCTTGAGTGGGCTTGAGATGCTTGAGTGGGTTTGAAAACCGTCGATGGGTGCATTGAGCTGATGTCGCAATACTGAAGAGTCATGCTGACCGGACTGTGGTTTCCAAGGACCCTTCTACTTTTGACACGCAAACGCAAGGCTTCCAAAGTGAATGACCTCCGTATGGGAATGGTGAATGGTGATCTTGGGCGCTCAAGAAGCAACTGACCTATTGTGGAGGTTCCAAAAAAACGGCAGATGTTCCCTTGTCTATCTCGGCGTGGAAAAACATCTCATGGGAGGCCCTCCAAAGCAGTATTTGGACTCCCTGGCGGTGATGGCAGCAATTCGTTTCATTTACTCGTCATAGACAGACACACCCTGGTTCATTGGAAGCAGATGGTGTTCCTTTTTGAAGAGGGACTTGTTGCCTTTCGAGTGTGGCAGGAACCTGCAACTCGCTGTTTACAATTGGTGACTGTATTTGAGAAGCGTTTAGGATGATCCAGGATGGTGATTGAGAAATGCTTCGAGAATCGTTTAAGTTTAAATCACCTCGCATCCAAAAAAATATTTGGATCGATGAACCATTCTGCGTCAAAGAAGCCACGCGGATCCTGTGCCGAGCTAGCACTCCAGGAGAGTGTGGAAAAGAGTGGGTTGACAAGACGCGTCGTTCGTTTCATTGAATACCCTCCAACAATCATATACAATCATAGAAGTGGAACATGACCACTGGAAACACGATTTTCCTCTACAAGCAGGCGGTCGTCCACTTTCTGGTTTGTTGAAGGGAGGGCAATGTTTTTGAACTCGGAAGCAGATTACGAACTGTATGCTGGCATCAGGATCATTCAGGATCTTTGCCCCAAGACTTTAAGCACTTGACGCAGGGAAAAAGAGATGTCCATGCCACCCAAGTGGGATTTCAACTAAGAGGCGTTTGCTGCTTTCAGCACCTTTTCCCAAAGCTTTTGGCTCACTAGCCTACTTTGGTTTGGACTGCTGGCGCTACTTCCCGGGAGTCCCGAAGTAGCTACGGGTGTGGACATGTGTGGACCCTCCAGGCTCTAAGGCTTTCGGATACTGATGCTGTCATACTCCAAGTCCTGCAGGTCCGAACAGTGGCTGAACAAGACGATCAGTTGTCATTCCTTTTCCATGTCCATGCTGGTGAACTTGGGTGAGAGTATGTCCGTATTTCAGTGAATCATATGAATCATATGTGTATCGATTGTTCATTCAAGATGTCAAGCTGGAGTTTGCAAGTAAAGGTTAGAGAAGAGAAATGAAGAGAAACTTTGGTAACCTTACTTACAGCAATCGTTGAGTAACACAGCAAATAACAAAGCACTAGATCCTACTTGTTTCAACTTACAGCCTCAATCCATCGCCGCATCGTATTGGCTTTGACCCGCGGAGTGTGGCGAAGCTGCTGGCAGGTGAAGGTACCGACTGGGCAACCACAGCAGAGGCGTTAGAAAGTGCGAAGAGAAATGAAGATTTGCGGTGTGAGGAGCATCACGGAACGCAATTTACAGAGGATCCTTGAAGGGAGGTCACTGATTTGTGGACTAGTTTTGGCAAACCATTCGAGATGGCACGGTCACATTCAACTTTCCGATATTGTCGCTACCCAGGTGTTCATCCTATCCCCAAAGAACTCTGTTGCCTTTGCTTATTTTGCACAAGGGCGAATTCTGAGCCGAAGCATAGCCTGTTGAGGGGGCCACGACTACCATAATCCAATCTAACCACGACTAAGTCCGCGCTTCCTAACCATGATCATACTGGGTAGTCCTGAGTCCTAAACCATACTGGGTATCCTCACCTCGCTGATCTCGAGAACCGGCTGATTTGTCACAGTCAACGGCTCTAGAGATCCACTCCATTCCACGGCTCCATCCACCGGGGATCTTTGAACACTTTATGGAACTTTGTATCTAAAGGGATGGGAAAACACAACACAATCTCCTCCTTTCTTGAGATTTTTTCAATTGGTTCAGGTAGGACGCCAGTTTGGATGAACTACGATGAAATTACTCTCCCTCCTATCAAGTGGAGAATTTGAAGCCGCATAGCCTGAAATGGAGAACCCTCTCCATCATTTGGGTCCGATCAGAAGACCAGGGCAACGATGGTTGGTGAGCAAAAAGGTATATTACTATATAATACAATGCGTATTATGGAGAGGCTCGTTTCTTGAACATGCTGCTTCTGGGACTTCTCACCCAATTGGACATGTTTCCAAGTTTCCGTGATACTTTCACACTGGCGCTAGCCAATGCGAGAGGTTTGCAGCGTGCATGGGGCTTGTGTGTGAGGTTTGCAAAGGCCTAAGTATTGCCCTCCGCCAGACTAATATGTCTGGAAGTTAATCCAAATGGGACAGTTCGCAGGAACTCATTGAACTTCGACAACAAGCCACTCGTGAAGAGCTACTGTGAGGTGAAATGGGAAGTATCATCCTATTTTGCGTTGATGAACACTTACACCTGTCCCCTTTTCAATGGTGGATGGACATTTCATGGTCAAGTCCTCTGGACTTTCCGGGGGTTGCAAGAGCATTCTCCGAGTTGATTAAGGGGTTGGACACCAGGGATGGCTATATTGACATAACGATCACAAACACGCACGAAGCAAGAGAAAAGACCAGTGTCGATGATGGGGCTAAGAAGTTGCCGCTGAACATTTAGGAAGGACCAGCACCGTGAGATAGCGCTGGGGACCCACGTTCAGAGAACGCCCCAATGAATCAGCTGCCATTAGACTTGTTCAAGGGGAGCATGGCTGCCATAACCTCAAACCTTTGGGCCAAAATGGACACTTTTTTTGAACATAAGGGCCTTCACCATGAGACTATCAGGCGAGAGTCGTTTCTTTCAATCCTGCCCTGCAGTGGGTTGCTTGGTTTCATCATGTTTCACCTGTTTTCACGGAGGTTGGGACTTTATGTTGGGGCAGCGCACGAACACCACACGCGTTTGCATCTGCAGACCGTGGGGGTTGTCTCAATGACGGGGGACCAACAACCATGGTGAACAAAATTGACCTTCAGCCGTGACCGTCAAGGAATGGAGGACCCCAGATATTGAGGCATCCCCAATGTGTAGGTCGCTTGAAATACCGGTTAGCATGAAGTAAGCACCTCCTCTCGGCTTTGAAACGAAGCTGCCACATGAGAAAGAAGAGCTGAGCTTGAGGAATGCAAGGTCATCAGGGAAGGGCACAGGTGAACCATGCTTCAAACTCCGTGGGATTGGAGTCCGTTTTGGTGCCAAACGTTGTATGCGATTCTCGATTTGGATGCTTAAAACAGCGTGGACTGGCTCGTCCTGTTGGCAGTGACTGGCTCGTCCGTTGAGCGAAAGAACAGGCAGGCGCTCCCTGGTGGGTTGACCTCCCTGGTCCCTGGTTGTCGTTCGTCTGTTCACAGAAAACAGAAAACAACAATTTCATTGGTTCGTTACTCACATCCCTTTATAGTTGTTTTATAGTATACTGTCGATCTGAGACAGACTATACAAGGGATTGGACGGGCAAAGAGGACACGAAAGGGATCAAAAATGATCAAAACGGTTTTGGTTTCAATTCGGACATGTGATTTCAAGACCCAGGTCTTTGGTGGATGAGCATGTCCTGATTTGTCATTTTTGCGGGGAGATTGCTATCCTGCACAATACGTGATGTGTGTATGTGTCTTAAATGTAGGAGACTTGCAAAAACCACTGACAACTTGCAAGGGCACCTACGGGGTACCCATCAAGCCCCATCTTATCAGTCAGAGCAGGTTCTCAAGACATAGAAGAATAGTGGCACTCTTTGCTCAAGCAACTTATGTGCCCTCTTCGAGCATCTGAGTATGCGAACCCAGGCATTTTGGTGCATGTTTCGGGTCCATGGGCTAAACCCCGCGCTGGAGCTGTTACTGCCGTGGCTGTTTGGCTTCAGTTTTTTTTCGGCTCAGCGCGTGTGCCACATGCGCTCCCCTTAGGCCATGATGCCGACCCTGGCGACGCGAGCACATGCTGCAGCCCCGTAAAGCGGGACCTGCAGCCATGCGGCTCGCCACGCGGCTCTTGGTGTTCTTCATCGGATGCTTGGGTCCAGCTGTGGGGCGAAGAGAGGAGTGAAAAAGATATGAGAACACTTCTTTTAACGATAGCGTTTAGTTTAGTCCAGGACAAAAAGCACATGAATATGTATATAGCACACAATAGCACACATATCAATGTTCATGCAGAAAGTGACTGTCCTGGGCACGTTCCCTTGCTTTTCCCCCTGTGCTCGTGTCATTGGCCAATTCTTTCTGGTGTCGGCTCCGTTCCTTCGTGCGTCCGTACACCTTGAGTGTGAACAGTGAACTCCATTCGTTGTCCCCACAGAAAAGGTGATCTTCAATTCGAACCTCACCAGCTCACATCAGTTCACCCATTTAAGTCTAGCTAATGAGCGAGCTCCTGGGGTTTACAAACCACTCAGAGTTGGCCCAAATCTGCGGTGATCAAAGAAACCAGGCGACCACGGTGATGTCAGGAGGGTTTCAATCTGCAGCGACCTTGAGGGAGACTGGGAAAGTACACCTTAATTTTTGTGTTTAGTCACTACTAGTGGCCCGTAGTGTTGGCTCCATGAGCCCAAATGAATCTAGACATTGAATTTTTTGGACAGACGTCCTGAGGCTCTAAGAGGGAAACCTGAAGATTGAACTTGAACCTTTTTGAAGTTTCCGAGGAGGTGTTGTGGTCCGACAGAAGAGCAGGTGGGGTTGATCAAGAGTTGGATTTGGGAATGAAACGTATTAAACAACACGTGAACCTCTACCAATGTGCTTAAATACTTGCCTCGTTTCATTGCGTAAAAAATTAGAGAGCAGCCAGAAAAAGGGGTCAATCAGATTGAATGGACGTTGCGTCCTGGGAGCTTAGGATTGCAGTTGGCCAATGCCCAGGCGGAGTTGCCTATTCTGCCGTTCCTATCCACTTGGTTTCAGTCGTAAAAACGTCCTGAGGTTCTCCATTTCTCAGGCGGCTTCTACAGTGCGAGGGTCTCATCACTGGAAAAGTTGACAGGATGCAAGGTTTGACCAGAGGGAACAATTATATAGTAGGCTTTGCATGGCAGCTTCTTTTCTTTTTCCCATGACTTCCTGAAGAAGGCTTCTTCTACCCCATTTCATAATATGTCCAGATATGTCCTGTTTTGCCTGTTT